CTTGGCCCATCCCCGCGCGGGACTCCTCCATCCCCGAGACAGGCAGCGCAGCCGCTTTTGCTCACACTCTTCCCGGCCCCACCGCCATCTTGATTGCAGTAGAGCCAGCTGACAGGCTGAGCTTGATGGGGCGGGGATAAGGGAGGCACGAGCCGGTGGATGCGCCGCCCGTCTCTCGGCTGCTACTACTGTATTCGAGGCAAGGGCGCGAGGGGTTTGGTGTCGTGCGCCTTTCTTGCAGTGACTTGAATGAATTCACACGCATTCCGGTGCCAGCAATGTAATCCTGATTCACTATGTTCACAGTTACATACGCATGGGGGCCGCTAAGTTAAAACCGAAGTTGTTTCTATATATAAGCAGGGCTTTTTTTCTCATAGAACAGGGCTTTTCAACCTTTTCACCCATTGTACCACTTTTAAGATATGGTGATATCCGAGTACCACTAGTCACCTAGCAACGTGTCAAAAAGTTGATAAAAAAAGGGAAAAAGTGATGAAGTACAGGTAGTCCTCAACTTACAACAGTTCGCTTAATGACTGTTCGAAGTTACAATGGCACTGAAAAAAGGGCCCCCCAAGCCACAGCCGAGCAAGACACCTGCCTGTCCACCCGGCGGCGCTCTTCCTCCTGTCCGAGGTTTTCATTGTTGTGAGCATTTCTGTTGAGGATTGGCAGCAGGGGTGGAGTGGGGGGTGTGTTTGGTTTTTATTCCTCCATCTGCTGGGTGGTTGCAGCAGGTTTTGGTCACTTCACATGACCCTGGGAAACTGTGACCGTCATAAATATGCATCAGTTGCCAGGCATCTGAATGTAAATCACAAGACCCTGGAGATGCTGCAACATTCCAGCTGATCGGCGCTTCTTCTGGGCTCAGAAGCACCAGGATCAGCGCCGAGCTCCAGCTGGAGCCTGGCGCTGATCCTGGCGCTTCTGCTCAGTCCTGACAGCCCTGCAACTCCAGCCATCTCTCACTCAGGCTTGTGCGGTGCTGCCACAGGTTCAGCTCATTCCCTTCCCCCGCTACCACTTTCCTAGGATGGTCGCGTACCACCTGCCAGGTGCCAATGTACCACAGGTGGTACCCGTACCACTGGTTGAAAAGCCCTGTCATAGAACACCCAGAACGGAGTTCCAGCACCTTTTTTGGATGGAACCTTGTAGGGTAGGCAAAGCGGGTTGTATGACGTGTGTGAGTTCCGGCACCTTTTTTTTTTTTAATAGAAAAAAAGCACTATATATTCTTAGTCAGCAAAAAGCCTGAAAATAGTTCTATTTGCATATCAGAGAGGATTCTTATACAATCTACAAATCAAATCAAATCAACCTTTATTGTCAAAATGCAACATGTGTACAATGAGATTGGCTGAGCCTCCCTCCCCCCACTACACAACTCACAGTGACAACAAACCCACCATGTTACTACATCATGTGAACTTATTGCACAATGCACCAGCCCCCGCAAGTCTGTCATATATGGAGTTATTTCCCATTCAGGAGTCTTAACAGCCCATGGTAGAAACTTCTTTAGCCTGTTGGTGCGGCTGGCTATACTTCTATTTCTTCTACCCGATGCTAGAAGGGTGTGAGTCATCCCTGAGGATTTTCCTCACTCTTCTAAGGCAGCGGGCCCTAGCGATGTCATCTAGTGCAGGGCTTTTCAAACTTTTGACCCATTGTACCACTTTTAGGATATGGCAACATCCGAGTACCACCAGTCGCCTAGCAAGGTGTCAAAAACTTGATAACAAAAAAAAAAAAAGGAAAAGTGATAAAGTACAGGTAGTCCTCGACTTACAACAGTTCGCTTAGTGACTGTTTGAAGTTACAATGGCACTGAAAAAGTGCCCCCCAAGCCACAGCCGAGCAAGACACCTGCCTGCTCACCCGGCGGCACTCTTCCTCCTGTCCGAGGTTTTCATTGTTGTGAGCATTTCTGTTGAGGATTGGCAGCGAGGATGGGGTGGGGGGGTGTTTGGTTTTTATTTCCCCCCCCCCCGTCTGCTGGGTGGTTGCAGCAGGTTTTGGTCACTTCACATGATCCTGGGACACTGTGACCGTCATAAATATGATCAGTTGCCAAGCATCTGAATGTAAATCACAAGACCCTGGAGATGCTGCAACATTCCTGCTGATCGGCGCTTCTTCTGGGCTCAGCAGAAGCACCAGGATCAGCGCCGAGCTCCAGCTGGAGCCTGGCGCTGATTCTGGCGCTTCCACTGAGCCCTGACAGCCCCGAAGAAGTGCTGATCATCTGGAAAGCGGCACTGATCCTGGCGCTTCTGCTGAGCCCTGACAGCCCTGCAGCTCCAGCCATCTCTCACTCAGGCTTGTGCGGTGCTGCCACCAGTTCAGCTAATTCCCCTCCCCCGCTACCACTTTTCTAGGATGATCGTGTACCACCTGCCAAGTGCCAATGTACCACAGGTGGTACCCGTACCACTGGTTGAAAAGCCCTGGATTATATAATGCAACAATACAAACAAGGATATATAATCCAAAAGAAAGTATGGAAATAAAAAAAAAAACAACCAATCAATTTATTTCTATCCTATCCCACTTTTTGGACATTTCCTGGACTGAGAAGTCAGCTTTCTGTAATATTTTTGGGAGACTTAAAAGCATCTAGCAGTTTCTTAAAATTGCTGAATGAATTTTTAAAATATACTTTCCACAATAAATTAGCATTAAAAGAGTGCATTCCCCTAAAAGATGCAATAAATATACGGTTCAGAAAGCTTACTGTTTTTGAATGTTATTCTCATTTATTTATAACTGAATCTACTTTTTCCTAGTATCAGTTTTATTTTCCAAGACATAGCCCATCCACCTCTATTGCATTCCTGTTTTTATAGATCGATCTTCTAATTGTAGAGATTTATAAGTAGGGGATTACTTTCTGAAATTCAGTCTGTTTAGTCAATAACAATAAAGAATCTTTTTTAATGTTACAAACCTTGCAAACGTGAAGCTACCCAACATTAGTGTCCCTGTATTGAAGATAATAAAAGAAAGGGATTGTTGTAAGGAATTGATTACAAAGTTCTAAGAAAAATCCAGTGGCACTTTCCATTAAACAACTTAAAATTATAAATGTATTTTTAAAATCTGCAGCGTGCGTGCATCACATGGTGATTCACACGTGTGATCCAGTTGAATAGCTTAGTCTCATTGCAGCTAGTTTAAATAGGAATGTGGTCTTCTTACCCAAGTATATAAATACATAAATATAGAGTAGAGTGAAACACTTCATTTTATAGGTTATTTCCCTGATGTAGCTGTTTATACATTCAAACAAACATTTAGTGACAAACTGAGTTATACTAAAGTAATGGAGGAATCTATTATTTTAACTTTTGGGAAAAATAAACCTGCCAAATCGTGCCCAAAGTAGTTGACCACCCCAGCTTTCCTGTGTAATAAAATATATCTTTAGTAGGAATTAGGGAACTGACAAAAAATGGGACTTCGCTAATCTACAAAGCATTGGTATACTCTAAAATTAGGATTGATTCCGTTTTAAATTTCGTTAGAAGTCGCTCGCAGAAAACCCTTTTATACTCTCCGTTCTCATGCCAGTCTAATGGCAATGACCTGGAATGATCCACTAAACTACATACAGCAGTTCGGGTTTTGAATATGCGATTTAAAAATAAAATAAAATTATTACTCCAAGTAAGTCATACATTACAAAGACTTAAGAAACGATTTATATATTGCCGCGTCTTGTTTAAATGGACTAGTTTCACCTCTACACCGGAACTAAAAAAGCGAACCCGGAAGAGCTATAAATTAAAATAATCATTTTTATATACATGTATCTCAGCTTTTTGGCGATTTTCATATCTATATGAGTCTTTGCCCATTCATGGGAGCATATTGCAATAATAGCCTACTTTACGAAGGTAGATCGAACCAGGGAAGAGAAATCTCCTCGATTGATGCGGAGGTTTTAGGTGGTTTTTCTTCTAGGCAATGGGGCGGAGTCGAGACCCTTAGTCATGAAAGGAAAATGGCGACGCTCGTGTTGGATAACGGCGCTTATAATGCCAAGATTGGATACAGTCACGCTCATGTCAGGTGAGGCTGGTTCGCTCGAAATAGTTATGGAGAAATCTTGGAGTCTGTATTCAGAGATATCGTTTTAGGATAATTGACGACGAATCTATGGAGTTTCTTACATGTTTCATATAAGGATAATCCAGGATGTATTGTTACCGTGAATGAAGAGGAACATTCTCAAACTCTACGTTTCTCAACAAACACTCAGATTTTTTTTAACTATGGAAACGTCATTTATTGAACTGTGGTGTTCATTATAAATTTTTTTCCACCAAGGAGAATTTGGAAGAATCTGTTTTCTATTTATAGATGGATCAGCAATTTTTGCAAATATACGTCACAGCATACTTAGTTTATTTGGAGCCTTCTGATTGCATAGGAACTAATCCTCCAACTATCTAGAATCTGGATAAATTGTCTGCGTGTAATGCTTAAAATAAGTGTTAATAATACTTTAAACCCTGAGCTTCCTTTAAGTTTCATTTGTATTTTTAAGGCTTCAGGCTTTTTTGCAGAAAATACGCATATTTGATTTAAGAAATCTTGAAAATATCGAACTGAGAATTTGATTTAACTGTATGAAACTTTATTGAGTCTCAGGCCCCTTTGGTTCCAGACATTAGTTTGCTGCATCCAACTCTAATAAAATATTTAATTTAATAGAGCATTTCCCTTGAAAAAATTTTATATTGACAGTATTTTGTTATTTGCTATGTTCATTTACAGATGACGGTTTGTTTAAATGCATATTTAGGAATCTACTAGAATTTTTTTTTCTCCTTCCCACAGTGTCATTCCCAATTGTCAGTTCAGATCAAAGACTGCTCGTTTGAAAACATTTACAGCTAACCAACTGGATGAAATTAAAGATCCCTCTGGACTTTTTTATATTCTCCCTTTTCAGAAGGTAACTAGAAACATGCCTCAATATATGTAATATTGTTTTTGTTTTCCACTTAATTTTTTAATAATTATAACTTTATCCTACAGTCCTGATCACACTAGCTTGGGTGTACATTTTTTTCAGCTTGCTAGAACCAGTTATTGTTTATATGAGATAAATAGGAACTGGGCAGAACTTTAAATATTTTTTCTGAAAGCAAAATATTCTTAAAGAAATGAGAGGCTTTCACTATATATTGTCAAATATCATTTTTTTATACTTGATGTTATGTAAATTATATAGACAAAATATTGGTTGAAAAATTTGAATTATGCAAGTGTATTTTTTCCTTTTTTAAAAATAGGGATACTTGGTTAATTGGGATGTTCAGAGACAAGTATGGGATTATCTTTTTGGAAAAGAAATGTATCAGGTAACTTGCATTTTTGTATACCTTGAATATAGATGTAAGACAACAGCAAAAGGCANGTTTGGTTTTTATTCCCCCCCCCCCCCGTCTACTGGGTGCTTGCAGCAGGTTTTGGTCACTTCACATGATTCTGGGACACTGTGACCATCATAAATTTACATTCAGTTGCCAAGCATCTGAATGTAAATCACAAGACCCTGGAGATGCTGCAACATTCCAGCTGATCTGCGCTTCTTCTGGGCTCAGCAGAAGCACCAGGATCAGTGCCGAGCTCCAGCTGGAGTCTGGCGCTGATCCTGGCGCTTCCACTGAGCCCTGACAGCCCCAAAGAAGCGCCGATCATCTGGAAAGCGGCACTGATCCTGGCGCTTCTGCTGAGCCCTGACAGCCCTGCAGCTCCAGCCATCTCTCGCTCAGGCTTGTGCGGTGCTGCCACCAGTTCAGCTCATTCCCCTCCCCCGCTACCACTTTTCTAGGATGGTTGCGTACCACCTGCCAGGTGCCAATGTACCACAGGTGGTACCCGTACCACTGGTTGAAAAGTCCTGGATTATATAATGCAACAATAAAAACAAGGATATATAATCCAAAAGAAAGTATGGAAATAAAAAAAAAAACAACCAATCAATTTATTTCTAGTCCTATCCCACTTTTTGGACATTTCCTGGACTGAGAAGTCAACTTTCTGTAATGTTTTTGGGAGACTTAAAAGCATCTAGCAGTTTGTTAAAATTGCTGAATGAATTTTTAAAATATACTTTCCACAATAAATTAGCATTAAAAGAGTGCATTCCCCTAAAAGATGCAATAAATATACGGTTCAGAAAGCTTACTGTTTTTGAATGTTATTCTCATTTATTTATAACTGAATCTACTTTTTCCTAGTATCAGTTTTATTTTCCAAGACATAACCCATCCACCTCTATTGCATTCCTGTTTTTATAGATCGATCTTCTAATTGTAGAGATTTATAAGTAGGGGATTACTTTCTGAAATTCAGTCTGTTTAGTCAATAACAATAAAGAATCTTTTTTAATGTTACAAACCTTGCAAACATGAAGCTACCCAACATTAGTGTACCTGTATTGAAGATAATCAAAGAAAGGGATTGTTGTAAGGAATTGATTACAAAGTTCTAAGAAAAATCCAGTAGCACTTTCCATTAAACTTAAAATTATAAATGTATTTTTAAAATCTGCAGCGTGCGTGCATCACATGGTGATTCACACGTGTGATCCAGTTGAATAGCTTAGTCTCATTGCAGCTAGTTTAAATAGGAATGTGCTCTTCTTACCCGAGTATATACATACATAAATATAGGGTAGAGTGAAACACTTCATTTTATAGGTTATTTCCCAGATGTAGCTGTTTATAAATTCAAACAAACATCCAGTGACAAACTGAGTTATACTAAAGTAATGGAATGAATCTATTATTTTAACTTTTGGGAAAAATAAACCTGCCAAATCGTGCCCAAAGTAGTTGACCACCCCAGCTTTCCTGTGTAATAAAATATATCTTTAGTAGGAATTGGGGAACTGACAAAAAATGGGACTTCGCTAATCTACAAAGCATTGGTATACTCTAAAATTAGGATTGATTCCGTTTTAAATTTCGTTAAAAGTCGTTCGCAGAAAACCCTTTTATACTCTCCGTTCTCATGCCAGTCTAATGGCAATGACCTGGAATGATCCACTAAACTACATACAGCAGTTCGGGTTTTGAATATGCGATTAAAAAAAAAAAATTATTACTCCAAGTAAGTCATACATTACAAAGACTTAAGAAACGATTTATATATTGCCGCGTCTTGTTTAAATGGACTAGTTTCACCTCTATACCGGAACTAAAAAAAGCGAACCCGGAAGAGCTATAAATTAAAATAATCATTTTTATATACATGTATCTCAGCTTTTGGGCGATTTTCATATCTATATGAGTCTTTGCCCATTCATGGGAGCATATTGCAATAATAGCCTACTTTACGAAGGTAGATCGAACCAGGGAAGAGAAATCTCCTCGATTGATGCGGAGGTTTTAGGTGGTTTTTCTTCTAGGCAATGGGGCGGAGTCGAGACACTTAGTCATGAAAGGAAAATGGCGACGCTCGTGTTGGATAACGGCGCTTATAATGCCAAGATTGGATACAGTCATGCTCATGTCAGGTGAGGCTGGTTCGCTCGAAATAGTTATGGAGAAATCTTGGAGTCTGTATTCAGAGATATCGTTTTAGGATAATTGACGACGAATCTATGGAGTTTCTTACATGTTTCATATAAGGATAATCCAGGATGTATTGTTACCGTGAATGAAGAGAAACATTCCCAAACTGTACGTTTCTCAACAAACACTCAGATTTTTTTAACTATGGAAACGTCATTTATTGAACTGTGTTGTTCATTATAAATTTTTTCCCACCAAGGAGAATTTGGAAGAATCTGTTTTCTATTTATAGATGGATCAGCAATTTTTGCAAATATACGTCACAGCATACTTAGTTTATTTGGAGCCTTCTGATTGCATAGGAACTAATCCTCCAACTATCTAGAATCTGGATAAATTGTCTGCGTGTAATGCTTAAAATAAGTGTTAATAATACTTTAAACCCTGAGCTTCCTTTAAGTTTCATTTGTATTTTTAAGGCTTCAGGCTTTTTTTGCAGAAAATACGCATATTTGATTTAAGAAATCTTGAAAATATCGAACTGAGAATTTGATTTAACTGTATGAAACTTTATTGAGTCTCAGGCCCCTTTGGTTCCAGACATTAGTTTGCTGCATCCAACTCTAATAAAATATTTAATTTAATAGAGCATTTCCCTTGAAATTTTTTTATATTGACAGTATTTTGTTATTTGCTATGTTCATTTACAGATGACAGCTTGTTTAAATGCATATTTAGGAATTACTAGAATTTTTTTTTCTCCTTCCCACAGTGTCATTCCCAATTGTCAGTTCAGATCAAAGACTGCTCGTTTGAAAACATTTACAGCTAACCAACTGGATGAAATTAAAGATCCCTCTGGACTTTTTTATATTCTCCCTTTTCAGAAGGTAACTAGAAACATGCCTCAATATATGTAATATTGTTTTTGTTTTCCACTTAATTTTTTAATAATTATAACTTTATCCTACAGTCCTGATCACACTAGCTTGGGTGTACATTTTTTTCAGCTTGCTAGAACCAGTTATTGTTTATATGAGATAAATAGGAACTGGGCAGAACTTTAAATATTTTTTCCGAAAGCAAAATATTCTTAAAGAAATGAGAGGCTTTCACTATATATTGTCAAATATCATTTTTTTATACTTGATGTTTTGTAAATTATATAGACAAAATATTGGTTGAAAAATTTGAATTATGCAAGTGTATTTTTTCCTTTTTTAAAAATAGGGATACTTGGTTAATTGGGATGTTCAGAGACAAGTATGGGATTATCTTTTTGGAAAAGAAATGTATCAGGTAACTTGCATTTTTGTATACCTTGAATATAGATGTAAGACAACAGCAAAAGGCANGGCAGGAACCCTACACCATTTCAGACAAATGGCTGTCCAGTCTCTTCTTAAAAACTTCCAGTGTTGGAGCATTCACCGCTTCTGGAGGCAGGTTGTTCCACTGGTTAATTGTTCTAACTGTCAGGAAGTTTCTCCTTAGTTCTAGGTTGCTTCTCTCCTTGATCAGTTTCCATCCGTTGCTTCTCGTCCTGCCTTCAGGAGCCTTGGAGAATAGCTTGACTCCCTCTTCTTTGTGGCAGCCCCTGAGATATTGGAACACTGCTATCATGTCCCCCCTCGTCCTTCTCTTCATTAAACTAGACATACCCAATAAAAAAGATATATCTTTAATATGGATTTTGAATTAATATCAGGAAGATATTATGTCTAAAGTTTTATTTTAAAACTACTTCCAGTTCTTGAAATGTTTTCCTTTACAGGTAGATTTTGTTGATACTAATATAATCATCACAGAACCTTATTTCAACTTTAGCTCAATTCAAGAGTCTATGAATGAAATATTATTTGAAGAATACCAATTCCAAGCAGTTCTCAGAGTAAATGGTGAGTGATATTGTCCACTGTCCAGAAAATGTATAATGCTTTTCTTCATCGTGACATTGATTCAGCACATTAAAATTTATTATGTTACTGTTAATAAAAATAGCTATAATATGGTATATTATGTTGCAGCTGGAGCTCTTAGTGCCCATAGATACTTCCGAGATAACCCATCAGAATTGTGTTGTATTATTGTGGACAGTGGATATTCTTTTACACACATTGTGCCTTACTGCAGAAGTAAAAAGAAGAAAGAAGCAATAATAAGGTAAAATATTTAAGCATTCATAAAAGAGGAAATTTTGTTTTAAAAATATATGAAAATTTTGTTAACTTTTTTTTTTAATTTCCAGGATTAATGTTGGAGGAAAACTCTTAACCAATCATTTAAAGGAAATAATCTCTTACAGGTAAAGCATTTATTTTGACTCTGCAAAAGTACCCCATTTAACCCTATCATCAAACAAACAAATCATGCTAGATTAAACTCATCTTCTTTGGGAGAACTGCTACTTAAATAGATCAGAGGGATACTGTGGTCATATATATGTGGACCTCAACAAAATCTTTGATAGAATGTGTCAAGATACTCTATTTAATAAATGATAAAATATGGGCTAGAGGATTCTATTGTTAGATGGACTGACAGTTGACTGAATGACCACATCCAAAATATGCTAATTAATGGTGTCACTTTGACTTGGAGTGACTGCTTTATGTTCAACATTTTTATCAATTATAAAATTTGCAGATGATGCAAAGCTGTAAGGAAAGTTAATACTTTAGATGAAAAAGAAAAGATTTGAAAAGATCTAGGAAATCTTGATAAGTGGACTAAAATTAATGATTAACAGGGAGAAATGTAGTTCTGCATCTTGGTAGGAAAAAACATATAGCACAGATATAGATTGCAGACCTGTTTGTGGTTGCTAACAAGGATTGCGTGTTCATTAAACAGAAAAGTCCAGATCATGGGAGTAATTGTTCTGTTCTGCACAAATCAGATCCCATTTACAATATTGTATTCAAATGTCACTACAGATCAAAAACGGACAGTGGCAAAGTAAATTCAGGGAAGAGTATGAAAACCAACCCCTAGGACAGTGGTGGCGAACCTATGGCACGGGTGCCAGAGGTGGCACTCGGAGCCCTGTGGGCACACGTGCCGTTGCCCCAGCCTTGCCTCCCCCCGCGACCCCCTCCTCTCCAGCAGCCCCCCTGAAGGAGAGTCGCCCTCGCGCATGGCCCACATGGAGCAGCGCAGCCAAGGACATGGCAGCCAGGCAGCGTAGACAAGACTCTGCCCTCATGCCCCATCATGCAGTTGATGCTGCAGGATGCAGGCAGAGGGTGTGGCCACCATAGTGCTGCTGGGCTGCCTGGGCGATCGGCGGGCCCTGGAGGTGGTGAGTGGTCCTGTGGGCGGGGTGGGGGGGCAGAGCGGGAGCGGAGCAGGGAGGTGGAGTGGGGGTGGGGCCAGTTTTGGGCCCACCCCCACTCCTTTCCTAGGCCATCACTGCCCTAGGAAAGGAGTTAAACAATTTGGGTATTAGTAGTTTTCAAATATATGAAGATCTTACATAGAAGGAAATGTGGGACTTATTTTCTGTTGTTCCTAATAGCAAAACCAAAACCAATAGCTAAAATTATAAGGAGATACGGCGCTGAGCAGGAGGTTGGAATAGATGACCATTTCAGGCTCTAATTATCTTTCTACGAACTCATTGTACCAATTTTGGAAACGAAATGTCATGTCCTTAAGCTACAAGGAGCTATGAAGTTTAGCAGGGTTGCCCAACAAATCCTTAACCAGAATTTACTGAGAAGTCAAATAGATTACTGTAACGGTTGTAAATTTTAATTCCTCAATTTACCATTAAATTTAGTAGTATACCTATATCTGTAGAACATTAAATGGGTTTTTCCATAATCTTGCACTTGGACTATGAAATACGAAGTTAAATAATTTTCCTTCAACACTTATAATAAACTGACAAAGCAAACAGAATAAATAACTTTTTCAAAACTTGTAATTTTTCTAGGCAGCTCCATGTTATGGATGAAACTCATGTGATTAATCAAGTGAAAGAAGATGTATGTTATGTTTCACAAGACTTTTTCAAGGATATGGAGATTGCCAAGTATGCTGTTTTTAAATATATTAAGTGTTGTTTATTTTACTAAAATTAGGAAATTTATAGGGCTTGATCCTGAAAAAGCATGCCACTTAGTTAGGCTGACATTTTTGTAATTAAAAAGGTACTCTTTGAGCATATATGAAATATTTTATCTTCTGTGCCCCATCATACGTATCTAGAAGGAGAGACAAAAGATCTTTGGGAAGACCTTTGATTTAGATTTCAGTTTGTGATCTGATCCATGAGAGAAGAGAGATGTAGTTTTCTAGTCCACTTTAAAGAGAAGTTTTTGCCTATAAAGGTGACCTAAAATATTTTAAATAGAAGAAATAATGATGTTTAAAATCAAGGATGTGCTACACATTTTTTCTACTTCTACCATTTACCTAATAATCATTTTGAAAGCCCATTTAAGAATAATAATAATAATAATAATAATAATAATAATAATAATAATAATAATAATAATAATAATAATAATAATAATAATAATAATAATAA